TTTTTGTTTTTTTTTTTTTTTTTTTTTTTTTTTTTTTTTTTTTTTTTTTTTTTTTTTTTTTTTTTTTTTTTTTTTTTTTTTTTTTTTTTTTTTTTTTTTTTTTTTTTTTTTTTTTTTTTTTTTTTTTTTTTTTTTTTTTTTTTTTTTTTTTTTTTTTTTTTTTTGTTTTTTTTTTTTTTTTCTTTTGTTTTTTTTTTTTTTTTTTTTTTTTTTTTTTTTTTTTTTTTTTTTTTTTTTTTTTTTTTTTTTTTTTTTTTTTTTTTTTCTTTTTTTTTCTTTTTTTTTTTTTTTGTTTTTTTTTTTTTTTTTTTTTTTTTTTTTTTTTTTTTTTTTTTTTTTTTTTTTTTTTTTTTTTTTTTTTTTTTTTTTTTTTTTTTTTTTTTTTTTTTTTTTTTTTTTTTTTTTTTTTTTTTTTTTTTTTTTTTTTTTTTTTTTTTTTTTTTTTTTTTTTTTTTTTTTTTTTTTTTTTTTTTTTTTTTTTTTTTTTTTTTTTTTTTTTTTTTTTTTTTTTTTTTTTTTTTTTTTTTTTTTTTTTTTTTTTTTTTTTTTTTTTTTTTTTTTTTTTTTTTTTTTTTTTTTTTTTTTTTTTTTTTTTTTTTTTTTTTTTTTTTTTTTTTTTTTTTTTTTTTTTTTTTTTTTTTTTTTTTTTTTTTTTTTTTTTTTTTTTTTTTTTTTTTTTTTTTTTTTTTTTTTTTTTTTTTTTGTTTTTTTTTTTTTTTTTTTTTTTTTTTTTTTTTTTTTTTTTTTTTTTTTTTTTTTTTTTTTTTTTTTTTTTTTTTTTTTTTTTTTTTTTTTTTTTTTTTTTTTTTTTTTTTTTTTTTTTTTTTTTTTTTTTTTTTTTTTTTTTTTTTTTTTTTTTTTTTTTTTTTTTTTTTTTTTTTTTTTTTTTTTTTTTTTTTTTTTTTTTTTTTTTTTTTTTTTTTTTTTTTTTTTTTTTTTTTTTTTTTTTTTTTTTTTTTTTTTTTTTGTTTTTTTTTTTTTTTTTTTTTTTTTTTTTTTTTTTTTTTTTTTTTTTTTTTTTTTTTTTTTTTTTTTTTTTTTTTTTTTTTTTTTTTTTTTTTTTTTTTTTTTTTTTTTTTTTTTTTTTTTTTTTTTTATTTTTTTTTTTTTTTTTTTTTTTTTTTTTTTTTTTTTTTTTTTTTTTTTTTTTTTTTTTTTTTTTTTGTTTTTTTTTTTTTTTTTTTTTTTTTTTTTTTTTTTTTTTTTTTTTTTTTTTTTTTTTTTTTTTTTTTTTTTTTTTTTTTGTTTTTTTTTTTTTTTTTTTTTTTTTTTTTTTTTTTTTTTTTTTTTTTTTTTTTTTTTTTTTTTTTGGATTGCCTCAACTATGCACATAGTGATGCCTTGGTCATCCCAATTACTACTTTCACACTTATTACCACGAATTTATACACATTAATTTGCAAGTTACCTTCTAAGCAACCACAGTAAGTTTCACATCTATTATATACCTATTTCCCTTCATTAGGAATAAACTGGGAACTTGCGTTGCCTTAGGATGACGCATTTCATGTCTTCCGTGAACATTACTTGTGCAATTAAGATTCCGTGCAGCTTCTCAAACTTATATCTGCTCCATTGTAAAAAGTGATTTCCGTTTACAATAGACGGTTAGTTGCAGTTTCAATACATGCAAAATTTCAAAGTGTTAGGTTATCAGAAACAGCGCCGTATTTGTTGAAGGCAATTTTCGTCCATTGCCATCTGTTCGTTTTCCGCCACCAGCTCGGCCTTCCCTATTTCACTAATTTTACCTCAGCAAAACGTTAACATATCCTGGCCCATGTAATACTAGTAAACTACTTAGGTTAATTTATACTGCCAATCTATAGTAATATGAAGGCAGATTATTCATGCCGCAATTGGGATGTACCAGTTAGCCGCACAGAAAGTTAAAATTAACCGCGTCAGTGCAATCAAACGGTACCGTATAATGATCCAAACCGTTTTAAATTTCCGCCATTAGTAAAATACTGATATAAGGCTTTAGCTCTGAAACACAACAATTTGTGTTGCACACAACTGAGGAAAAATGTTACAAAACTGTAATTGCTCTCATTTAGTCAAATTTTATGATGGGAGATCGTCTTTCCAATCTTCTTCTTATCAAAGCGAACTAATTTCGCGCATGGGTTTAGGTAACTCATAGTCAGTACAGCAAGAACAGCTTGGCAATGATGTTATGACAGACAAATAGAGAGCTTCGCACAGGCTAGATGTGTTCAGAAGGTTGTGACAACATTTCGGCGCCTGTGAACCTTATTGGCTCCCACACCGTGGCTCTTGATATCTCGTCCTACGTGGATGATGAACAGCTTAATACATTTAAAGAAATTGCCAATCTGGTGACTAGTAATACTTATAAAGACACAACAAGCATGGATCAAAATAGCCAAACTGCAAGCACTGAGGGAAAAATCTCCATGAATACTAACTGTTCAGCAGCTTAAGCTAATTGACCCATTTTACAGTATGGGACAATGGGTGACGAAATTGTACCATAACTTTTGAATAATTTAGTTAACTCGAAGACGGTAGGAAACTTTTACAACGGTCGAAGCGAGCTTAGCCTAACACCATTCAGAGATCGGAGCCGCCTAGGCCTTGAGCCAAAATACCCATGAATAGACCAAATCACATCGTTCAACTGAACCGCAAACTTTCCATGCTATCCAATTTGGAAGTAGCTAGATCGCATTTCCTTGTACTATATAACATCGTGTGCTGAAATAAACCACGTAGTGCATGGGTGTTTAAGATTACTAGACAGCATACGGGTAGCCGCATTTGGGCACACAATCATCCCAGGTTATGGCATTGCGTTGAACGCCTTGCAGATTTAAAGCTAACTAAGCCTTAAATCAAAATCAGCGGCTCCTATCAAACTGAATGTCAAGGATGAGACAGCTTCACGCACTCTCATAATTAACTGTGAACAAATTCGCAATGCAACCGTGCAAAGACAGCTTACCTTTGGGCTGCCAATGCGAGGCATAATTTAAGCTGTGATGAATCCTAACAAAAATACAGCGTTTATCAACGAGTAAATGCCCATTTCTTAAAAGACGAAGAGAAGCACTTGGCCTAATGGCAAGTACGGTGTCCTAGACTACGAAGACTCCCATTTCTTAACGAGCTCGCAATGGGAAGAAAACCCAGCTGTCAATCACGATTGAAGGCTGGGTCGCCTACACATGACGAAAATATATTAAGGTCTGTAGACAAGGAGCCTCCGCAATCTGTTTGGGGAAACGAAAAGTTCAGTGCACTTGCGTTTTTATGTTTCCGTTTACATATAATTGTGTGATTCTAAATGCACCATTTTTCAGGTAACTGACTTGCGAAAATCTGGGTACAGGGCTGCGTGGATGGTTAAAATAATCAGCAAATTTTCAGCCCTAAGCAAAATAAAAAACAGAAAGTACATGATTCTTTCGCGATGTAATCTCTAATCGCACACAACTCTGCAACAATAATAAATAGGGTAACTTTATTTTAGTCCACAAAGAGATATCCTTTCGATGTCCACCACAGATAATCGCAAATCGACCACGTGTACCACCAAGGCGAACAATTTCACTATAGTTAACACTTCAGATTGCAACCTAAATAGCTCCTTTTATGTTCACGCCCCGCAAGCGGCTGCGCACCTGCTACATCCTGCAGAATTATGTCGCCCGACCCAATTGCATAATTAGTCATGGAATAATGTTCCTTTCCTTATGCTAGATAGAGGACTACTCACTTCCTAACTACCAACTGTATATACAATCTCCTGTGCGTAAAATGGACGGCAAGTGTGTCATTTATATTAAAATACATACCCAGCAAATATGCCTTTATCAAAGCCAAGGATGAGAATATGTAATCGGTATGGATAGAGGCTGATATTTCAGGTGCAACGGCGCTATCTGGATTTGTTTATTGACAACCTAATACCTTAAATTGGAGTGGCAGAATACATAAGCCTACTTTTGCGCAGGCTTCAACTCGTTCCTGGGAATACAGACAGGTGGCGGTAGCCTGCAACATGCCGGTGTTAAACTGGTCTCCACCAGCTGCAACAATTAATTATGCATGTCGATTAGCATTTCTCAATCAAAAAACGTATCGGTTAAAACTAGGTGGAATAACGTTTTTGAGTTATTAGTAACTATCGGCATTCCATGAACTTCAGTTTCAGTTTAGCGGAACTTCCCGAGTAATAACCAGAGTTTGGTGCATTACCCAGTTTTCTTAAGGTGACTTAATGTCCATCCCACAGACTTAGGTGCATTTGTATTCCACCGCCCATACACATCATTAACCGGACAACCTTCACCGTACTCTATAGCTCAAGGTGTTGCAATCAATTCTTCATACCTGCTTCGTAGATCCATCGGATGAACTGTATTATGAGGAACTAATTTACGGTCCCGATTCACCAGCACCCATGTTGCATTTATTAACGCACCCATCTAAATGTGTATACAAACGGATTACTTTCAAGTTTATGGTTGCTTTTCCCAAAAAGGGACATGTGGTAAAACTCAATAACGGGAAGCTGGAGTACGTTGGCAATAATCATAGCACTAGCGGGATTTAAAATATTAGGGCTGGCGATTTGCATGTTTATAAGTCATTCAATACTAAAGAAACAGCTAAATCACTTAGGATGATTTCGTCGACGTTTCACTCATTCACTCGATGCGATGACAACGGTATTGCAATACCGTTGTCCGCTTGCTGAACGTTTGAAAAACCCGCATGGTTTTCTGTGCCCTATCTTGGTCCACTGTTGATTGTTACTCATCTCTTTCGTGTACCTTGCAAAATATGCCCATATATTGCGTTTTGATTACACGCAGCTGTAAAAATGCTTTAGACTTATTACTGCGCTTAGCGCCAGTATAAGCTAATATGAGTACTCGGCCTGTCTCTGCAGTTGCGCTGCCAAATGTTAACCTTTTTCCAATCAAGAATTATGCAGAAAAACCAGAACCAGCGAGGATAAGCCGAATGTCGCCAGCACAGCAAATACAACTCCTCTGGCAACTTCGTAAGGCCACGTATGATCACGTGCCACCATTGTTGCAGCGTTGCTTCTGCTTGTTCAGAAGCTTAGGTGATGCATGCAGCTCTGTCCATTGGAAGAATATTATTTATCGAATTGAGTATTTGTATCGTTAACAGTTCAACTGATTGCTTTAGTACATAAAAGGCAAACGTAGGAACGAAATGATCGCTCTTACACACAGGTGGCTCAATTTTATGGTGAAGAATCAACCATACTTGGTGATCCCAATCTTTAGGGAAGAGTGAATGCTCTGGTCACAATATTTTGTTAGAAAGTAAAACTGCTGCACAAGGGCAGCTTCCTGTATAACCTTACTGAATTCACATTTAGGTAGTTTGCATTGTTGTGAGAATGCTCCCAAGCTGCAGGTGATAGGTTCTAGTCGCTTGCATTCACGTAAGTTTGCGCAGAATGCGCAAGTAGTTTAAGTAGATCACTAAGATCCATGTCCTCATCTCGCTTTGAGGAAGAGCTGCGCTTAACACAAAAACTAATTCAACTTTATGTTACAAATTCGCATGCCCTTTTGCGTGTACATGTTAAACGGAGCTTAATTATGATTGCAGTAGCAACTTTTAGGCAAAACCCATCCGCCTCCATTGAGCTACCCATGACGGTCTGATCTATACCCGAAGTCGGCTGACAGGTACTCAGTTATAAAGTTTTTTGGTAAGCGACAGTTGTCTGTAAGCGCAGTAACAGCAACTGATCCAGAACTGATCGGCAGCTCTCCCAACTTGTATCTTACGCTACAATCATTTGTGTGTCGTACCCACAGCTGCATTTGCCGCCGACTTTTCTCGCTGTCGGCTTCAATTTTAAAGTTCTCCTCGTGCATGTAACTCAAGTTGTGCCAAAATTGTTGCAAAACTTTCAGTATGTTTGACTATACATTCCGCCTTGGCCTTCTGTGACAAAGTAGCACTAATCAAAGCTGCTCCAATTGCTTTGGTGGCTTCTGTACAACCCGTACTTTTTTCTACGGTGAGCACGCATTTTATTAACAAGCATAGTTCCTCTGACTGATGCTGTCTCAGGAGAAGTTGCGCAACTGCAAGCCTTGGCAGATGGTGTTCGTTTCACTTTTGCCTTCTGAATCAATTACTGCAGCAGGAGATCTCGATCCAAATGGAGACAAAACAGATTATTCACCCTATGCCGATTGCACACATGCAGTGATAAGACGCATCAACGATGTAAGGTTTGGGCAAAGCAAGTGCAACACTTATGAAGCCCTCAACGGATTATTGAGCTTGGTCAAATTTTCCTCTTTGGAGCGACTGATTACGAGCTGAAAACGACATCTATCCATGGAAGTTTACCACAAACAATGTTAAGCGTATTTTCCGTTAGAAAACTGCAATTGGCTTTTATTCGAGGAAGCTGTTATCTGACAAAGGAAACCAAAATCACTAAAATGTAACACCAATAATGAGCTGGTTTGTGCTCTAACAGCGAATGCAAGGGCGGCTACATTGTATCGGTATTTGTACTGTTAGCCAATAAGTTCCGGTCCTTTGGGAAACACAATATCTATGATATCAACTCACGCTTTAATAAGAATCGCATTATTAGTAGGTTGCTTTTTATATGCGGCACATCCTGAGCACGATGAAACTAGACACTCAAAAGCAATTTCGTGTTTACTGTTCATTCCGTAAGCAGGCCATACGGCACAGTACAAGGGAAGTAGCAGCACGATGGAGCGCGGTTAGGAAGTAGTCTATGTTAACCTTTAGATAAAACAATCTGTAGGAATGTCTCATGTTAAAAACGTCGATAAATTAGATAAAATGTGCGACGTTAAGAAAACACCAGACAATTTTTAAATAACAAGTTTAGCGCATGATATTCTATGCAGGTTCCCTTAGTGAAGCACTGGGGTTATCTTAAGTATTAATTGCCTGGTTTTTCCAATTATATATGTCAGACCAATTGGCCTATAGTTTTCATTATATTGACGAACACATTTATGTATATGCCTACCAGTGTCCACTAAATTTGTGTGGTCATTATAGCGCATAACAGCATTTAGAAACCTACCTATTTATCTACAAATTGGCACTTAGCAGGAATGCTTAGGGCTTTTATTCAAAACTGAAATATAGATTGTCAATCAAGGGCATTGTGCTGCAATTGATCGTCCGTATGTTGTTTGCACTCAGCTGCAGGCCAAAGTATAGCATTATGACATCAATTAGTATAAAAGGAAACGTTATGTGCACCGCTATTATATAGCAAGTATTAGCGATTTGATAGAACATGTATTGCTCCTTGTTTTCGGTAATGAGCAACTCGCGCATTAGATGAATTAAGCGCAACACCACTTTTGTTTGATATGAAATCGATAACATTAGTATATCCGCGGAGGATATGAAGAAATAAATTGGTGGAAGAAGGCGTCCACCCTCGTAACAGTTAACCTGCACAACAGTGTATCACAGAGGCTGACAATCACTGACGGCCGGTGGGCGATATTTACGGAATTTTCCGGATGTGCATAGGTCACACTAATAATCCGCCAGGATGGTGCCACACGGTACAACAGAAGCTTGCCGCTGGTGTGCTGTAGATATCATCATGGCCTCCGTCAGACGGTAGTTGCGGATATGCAGTCTTCTCAATCAATGGTCAGAACACCAGATACGCCGGCAAACGTGGACCAAAACCAAGACGATGCTACTTCTGAAGATAAACCTAGCATGGTGAATCGAAATAGTCATCCTGTGTTCCAAATTAACGCACCTCGTTGCACAAATGCTTTAAGCAAAGAATGTTAAACACTCACACCTAGCGACCATAGATTTCAACCAAATGTTCCATCACTTTATGAGTTTTCTGACTGTGCCAGAAGAAACCACTGTTCGCAATACCGCTTGCAAGATAAAGCACGTCATCATGGATGATTAAAACATACTCTCGTACATCTTAGCGTGCTATATATATCACGCTTCACAACGGGGGTAATATACAGTAGCACCTTCAGCAAATCGGTGGCTTGCCATCTATTTGAATCCACGAAATCGCGTCAAGTTCTGGGGGATCTATCTTCAGTGACCTGCGGCACTGCTTCATCCTGGTATACAAATCCGATATTTGGATAGCAGCCCTGATAATTTAACCAAAGTTACGCGTGTTCCTATGCATTGTAGCAATTTTCTGCATTACGATATTGTAGACAGATTTTATAGGTCAAATGATGTCAGGCCAAAAGCCACTAGTCAAATATCTTCGTGGCCGGCGAGGCCTAAATGTAAATTATCACCGCTATAGCTCTGGCGAGGTTATGTCAGATCGAAGTATAGGCCACCTGCAATCGATGGAGCCTCGGCAGTGCTCCTATGTTACAAAGACCATGCGGTACTAAGGGATGCTTTAGCTGACGCACAGGCGGATTTCAGTTTAAATCTAGGAGACATAGTAGGAAAGGGCAATGATTAACGGTGGCGCGCTTAAATGCCGGCCGGGCGACGGTGTTTCAGGTTAACTTTACATTTTAGGTTGGACTGGATATTTGGGAGACTTACACGCGTGCTTCATCTTGATTGGCACGTTGATACAATAATCAATGGGTTGGTCGGCGTCTTAATGGATCTAAAAATCAACGCCTGTATCCACCCTGGCCAACCACATACTGCTTACGTTCCATGTATTATCAGCTCGTGATTTGGCCGACAAGTAAAGTAAGTAAAAGATGGGTAGAGCAATCGAAATTACAGAATACGGATGCTTGGTAAAACGAAGAAAATACTAACAATGCATGTATCATAGGTGCACTAATTATCGTTCTCGCTTCGGCGGTACATAGACTAGACTTGGTACCGTAGCGAGAGTATTGAACTGATTTCTGATCAAAACTAATATAGAAACGTTAAAAGCTTGCGTGTTCTACTCTTAATTCTCTATAGGAAGATCACTCCGATTTCCTAATCTTTCAAGCAATTTGTTCTAGGTAAAGATGTAGACCACGTTTGCATACCTCACGGATTATAGTTGCGTTATCTATTTCTCACTGTAAAATTCATTAATGATACTTTTATGCCATCGCTTGCATTTCAAATTTACCCTGCATTCTTGGATGTCGTTCTATATACAGCACTTAGGACACACCCTCATGCATGCATTTGGGACTTTTATGCAGGTTGTTCTCACACCTTTCATTGTTCATACAAGTGGCCTTGGCTTGCTAAAGCTAACTAAACTTGCAGCTTTACCTATACCGGCTAGTTAATCGCCAGGTCTAACCTTTTGATATTTGCACAATTCCTTGAATAAAGGTTAAAAAGAGGAATACCTCTGCTTTTCGGAATTATTTTAGGACCACCAATAACACAACAGGATAACCAGCCTAACTATGCATAACTCTGGAGAACACAGAAATCAGCTATACAGACGGAGAACAGCCTGATTTAAAGTCCTAACGGTAAAGCGCTCCACAGCCCAGATATTAAAACCATAAATAAATTTATTTCATCTTCGGATAGGAGAGACAAGCCGATGAATGCATCATTACGTAGGTGCTAGCGTACAGACTTTTCGCAACAACTGTAACAGCAATATTAGAAAACTGTTCAAACGCATCTGGTTAGAACTTTTATTGGTGTAAATGTGAAACACTAGTTGCCCTCTCTTACGATTGGGACTTTTTTCTAAAGCTGTAATATTTCTGCTAAATATCGCAGTCAAATATCAACCAAGAACATTTCAGGAATTCCGAATGATCGATTGGAAGATAATTGAAAGTCAAGAGCAAAAGAGATTTGATTAAACTACTCAGTGCAGGTGCACGTACCGCAACCAACAACCGCTAAATCATAAAACGAGAGACCGTAGTACGTGCATGAAATCGCAGAAAGTAGAAACGGAAATATTTTTAAATGTAGGAGTGACAGAGTAACGAACGTTTAATGAATGCTAAAATGTAACGCCCGCTGCCTTGCCAGTGTGAAATAATGAGATGTGACATTATTCGGTATTGGGACACTT